GTCAGATCTATGACCTGGAATCTACAGGTGGTCAGGTCTATGATGTGGGGTCTCTACAGGTGGTCAAGTCTATGATGTGGGGTCTCTACAGGTGGTCAGGTCTATAATGTGGGGTCTACAGGTGGTCAGGCCTATAATGTGGGGTCTACAGGTGGTCAGATCTATGATGTGGGGTCTCTACAGGTGGTCAGGTCTTTGATGTGGGGTCTCTACAGGTGGTCAGGTCTATGATGTGGGGTCTACAGGTTGTCAGATCTATGACCTGGAATCTACAGGTGGTCAGGTCTATGATGTGGGGTCTCTACAGGTGGTCAGGTCTATGATGTGGGGTCTACAGGTGGTCAGGTCTATGATGTGGGGTTCCTACAGGTGGTCAGGTCTATGACGTGGGGTCTCTACAGGTGGTCCTGTCTATGATGTGGGTTCTCTGCAGGTGGTCAGGTCTATGATGTGGGGTCTGCAGGTGGTCAGGTCTATGATGTGGGTTCTCTGCAGGTGGTCAGGTCTATGATGTGGGGTCTGCAGGTGGTCAGGTCTATGATGTGGGCCCTGATCATACGGACATATAAAGATGACAATGCCAGGATTCATGGGGCTCTTATTGTGAAAGAGTGGTTCAGGGAGCATGAGACATGGATTGGCTCCACAGAGTCCATCGAGAATCTTTGGGATGTTCTGGAGAAGGTCAGACTCACCATCATCAATTCAAAATGTTGGTGATAAATTAATGCACTGGATGAAATAAATTTCGTGACATTGTAGAAGTTTATTGAAACAAAGGCACAGAGAATGTGTGCGGTGGTCCAACAGAATATTAGAGTGTGACCTGTTTTTTTTTTTTGTTTTTTTTTTTTTTGGTGGCCAATGTTTTTGGGCCAGGCTGTAGTGAATTATTATTGTGAGATGTCCTTAACTTTAGGATGTAATCAGGCAGTCAATTATTCACATACTGTATATGCAAATTTATTATTGTTGTTGTTGTTGTTGTTGTTGTTGTTGTTATAAGGTGAATCGTGAAAATTCATGTTTGTATTAAATAGGGCTGCACGGTATACACAGTAGACGGTAGTAACCGTATGAAGTTGGCCTACGGTAGAAATTTTATACTCTACGGTCCTATCGTCATTACGCCATCACACCTGTGTCAACAGGGCTGCGTGTGCAGAGACAGCTGAGCAGGAGTTTGAAATATAATGAAGAAATTCTAGCATTTTAAAACACGTATAGAGAGGATAAATCCTCAAAATTTCCTCCTCCCGCTGTAGAAAAGTTATGTCATGTCGCGGGATCATTTCCTCTCCTCTCCTCTCCTCTCCTCTCCTCTCCTCTCCTGCTGCACGTCACGCAGAGCAAAGCTTTAACAACTGTAGTTTTTCACACCCAATTGTTTGAGAAAAAAACTTGTTTTTATGTATTGTGACTCACAGAGATTTGTTTAAAAAAACGTGGACGTTTGTTCAGTCATAAATCCATCTTGCTAATGTAAAGTCGGCTTCCACTTTGATAATGAAGATGATGAAGATGAGCGTGCAGCAGAGCAGCAGCTGATAAGTTCAGCAGGCAGAAGCTCATTGTACAGCAGGCAGATATTAAAGCAAAAATGTTGGGTTTAATTAAGATTACAGTTTTCTACAAAATAATGCTCTAAAAATTACATTATCTTTTTATGCTAATTTTCTACCGTGATATATACCGTTACCTTGAAGGGATTCAATTTATACCGTGATATGGATTTGAGGTCATACCGCCCAGCCCTAGTATCAAAGTAGTCTTTCTTGTTACTCTGGTGTAGAGAGCTGAGTTTAGCAGAATGTCCCTCACAGATTTTGAATTTAACCACATTTCTCATCACTTTTTATTTTTCCTTCCACAGGAGACAAACGCTTTGAGTGCAACCATTGTCAGAAACGGTTCATGAGGAGTGACCACTTGACGAAGCATTACAAAACTCACATAAACACCAAGAACCTGTGAGCAGACACAAGCAGCCAGAACTGTGCCGCAGGAGGAGAGGAAGACTAAGGTACAGGGTCTGCCAGACTCCTGCAGGGAGGAAGTCCTGATGAAGCCCCTGTTTGCACTCTCACTCCTCCAGGACACTGTTGTAGCGTGGTGTACAAAAAGCTCCTTCCATAGGAACTTCAAAACTGACCCAGTAAAGTTATTAATAATAGTTTATTTTATATTTTTATTTAGTTTTCATTTTTTGCAGATTCATCTTTTACTGAATTTTTAGGATGGGAAAGTGTTGCTTCAAATCTGCTTACATATTTATGAAGAACACACCAAATTACTCACATCAACAAACGACTCCAGGACTTCAGTAGCTGTTTTCATCTCTGTTGGGTCTTTTTTTTTCCTGAAACTCTTTTATTTGTTTGGGAATACCTGGAGCTTCTTGAAACTGTCAGGCAACAAAAGAGGAAAGAAAAACCCAACACTGCATTTTATTATCTGACAAATTTGACCTCAGTAGAACGGTAAGTTTGTTTAGGTTGTTTGTTTTGGCAGCTGTCTARGCTGAATTAAACCCTTATTCATATAAAAATCTGCAATACTTTGAAAAAAAAGATTAGATGTGTTTACATTTGTTTTTAAGTGTATAAAAGTGTACAATTTTTAAATATACTCAAAAATAAAGTATTTATAGCATTTTTCAAAAAAAACTGGTTACTAGTTGTCTTGCAAAGCAGGCATTCAGGAAAACCTGACTTCAAATTTAGTCTTAATGAGAGTTACAGAAAAAAATAATAAAGCAGAGCTTAATTGAAGTACACTCCTGATCAAAATTTTAAGACCAGTTAAAAAATGGCAAGGATTCACATTTTGCACAGATGGATCGCAAGAAGGTTAAATAGAGCTTCCAAATGCAAAAACAAATTAAATGAGACAAAAAAAAAAACATTTGAGTAAGCATTTTATTGCYAACAAGTATTAAACAGAAACGGGCTGTTCGTCAGCTGATGAAAAGTTTAACACCACAGCGTTAAAAGCCCAAATCATCACAGAAATGTGGATTCAGTGCTATTTTCTGTCAGGTGTCATGATCCCCAGATGGCAAAGGCAAAAAAAGAATCTTTGAACGCGGTCGAATTGTTGCGCCGCCGCGACTCCTTCAACGGCACAAAACTGCCTGTTTGGAGTTTGCACCAGGACCAAACATGGGATGTTGAAAGGAAAGTTTTATTCTCTGATGGGAAAAAATGTAACCTTGATGGTCCTGATGGCTTCCAACATTAATGGAATAACAAGGAGATCCCACCTGAGATGTTTTTTTACACAGCACAGTTCAATGAAACAATGGAGCTTCAGGTTGTGCAAACAGCAGCTGGTATGTGGAGATGTTTCAGGGGGTCTCCCTCATGACTGAAGACCATCGGCTGTGTGGTAATGACTGGGTTTTCAACCGGACAACACCTGACAAAGACCTTCTTCCAGAGAAATAACATCACTCTTTTGGACCATCCTGCATGTTCCCCTGATCTAAATCCAACTGAGAACATTTGGGGTTTGATGTTGAGGGATGTTTACAAAAATGGACACCAGGTCCAGACAGTGGCCCTCTGTGAAACCATCTTCACCACTTGGAGCAACGTTCCCTCTAGCTTCCTGGCATCAAGCAAGCTGAAATGAATTTTAAGGTGATTAACAGTAATGGCTCGGCGACTCTTTACTGAGTCCTTTTGTTCAAATTTTATTTCTATTTCGGGATTCTGTGTCATTGGTCTTTTAGATATGATCTTAAACCTTTGATCAGCTGATGAACAGCCTATTTCAGTTTAATACTTCTTTGCAATAAAATGCTTGGATGTGGTTTTTTTTTTTTTGTTTTTTTGTCTCGCTCCCATTTCTTTTTGAATTTAGAAGCTCTACTTGAACTTTCAATAAACCAACACTGCAAAATATGAATTCTTCTCATTTTMCAACTAGTCTTAAAGCTGCAGTCTGTAAGTTTTAAAAATATATWTTTTTTTGACATATTTGGTAAAAGTGTCACTATGTCCTGAAAGATTGATATTAGACAGATAATCTCTGAAAAAACAAAAGTCCTCTGGCTCCTCCTGGTGGTCCTACAGCCGTCTGTTCAAATGTTCCGCTCCTGAAGAAAAAGAGCCAATCAAAGCCCAGAGGTTTGTCTCACAGGTGTCAATCATGTTCATGAATGAGCTGCTCACGCCCACCCCACCCTGCCCACAACACACACTCATTCAAGCTCCTGACTCAGGCCGTGCTGTGTGGGAGGAGCTTAGGAAGGTGGGCTGAAGCTTAAAGGGGCAACATTGTGTGTTTCTCATGCATAAATTTAAATACTATACCATAATAAAGTATCTATGTCACCTTTAGCTGTTATTAAAATGCTGTTTTTATGTTTAAATAGAAAATAAACTTATCTTCTCATCACTTCCTCTTCTAAACACCTTGAAATTGGCTTGTGTCATATCTATAAGACAGTGGTTCCCAAAGTGGGGTCCTGAAAAGATTTTCTAAATTAATAACATTTTTGCCTTAGTTGCCTAAAATGTATAAATGTAGAATAATAAATAGTTACTATGCCTATGTTTAGTTGACCTGATACAAATGTTTATCATCCAAAAATAGTTGTGGGCACAGGTCTCTGCTGCTGTTATTTTGTGGGTCAAAAGCTGAAAAGTTTGGGAACCACTGCACTTCAGAAATAAATTAAAAAGCTAATAAAATAATTGCTGATGTAATATTCCCCCTATAATTATTACAAAAACACAAAATAAGTATAAATAAGGATTTATATTTGTGTAGCCTTTGTTTTTAGGGTTATTAACAAAGTTTCTGTACTCAGATCAGTAATATTTGGGGTCACAAGTTTTTGCAATGAATATTTTGTGGGTCAGAAGATAAAAAGTTTGGGAACCACTGGTTTAAGAGCCACCTTCCGCTCMGCTTCCGCTTGTGTCCCGCCCATTTCAGCGGGGGGTTCGCGCATGCGCTATGATGCAGTTCACTTGGCATCTGAAAATACATTTCCTCAAYHGWATTWTGAATCTGAAAAGAGCTTCACTGAGTGAGAAGTAGTGTTAAGAGCAGCAGAGTGTTTAAGTTAAGTTTCACTTTCAGTTTCACCCGTTGTTTGCTTTGTTACTGTCGAGAGCCTGCAGGAGTCATAGGTGGGGGAAGTTCGGCTTAAAGACACGTCCCAGAGGAGTTTCTGGTCCCCACCTGTCGTTTTGCTCCTCAGCATGGCTTCATAAAAACACTGCAGGATTTCTCAAACATGCATGAATGAGTCAGAGCAAGGCTTTGGACATGTTTTTATGAGAGTATAACATTATATAACATGATATAAAACTCAAAAAAGTTGATTTTACATAATATTGCCCCTTTAACAAAGAGCAAGGGGAGGGACCTGAAGGTTGTATCTCTTCAAATTTTTTCTAAGTCCAGGGTTTTCCAGAAACTACATACAGCAGCTTTAAATTTTTGATCAGGAGCGTATAATGCAGTTGAAACCAGATGTTTATACACTTATAAATTCTCAGAAATTATTTAGATTTATTAAATGACTGAATAATTGAAGAGAATCTTAAGAGATTTTTTTTCAGCCAGTAACTTAGGTCAAATGTTTAGTTTTGTGTTTCCTTCTACAAGTTTATCTTGGTACTTTGCAGAAATTTGGTCTAATGCCTCCTGACAACAGCTGAGTCAGCTTTTTACAGCTTCTCACCAGTTTTCTATAGGATTGAAATTATGAGTTTGGGATGTTCACTCCAGATCAGCTGTTTTGTCTTTCAGCCACTTGGTACTTTGTCAGTTTGCTGAGGGTCTTTGTGCCCAAGCTTTAACTTCAGTATTTCTTCACAAAATTCTTTCCTCATGATTCTGTCTGTTCTGTAGCCTGGTCCTTGCCTTCCTACACAGCTCCACTCAATTCTAGTTTCCCTTCTKTGCTCTGTCTGGGACTTCTCCCATAGACGAGAATTTCGTCCGGGCCAATCTGAGAACAGAAGGTGGAGTTTTGAATGACGTTGATTTTCTGCTCAGTGTCTGCTAGTTATTTTAGCATACAGCAGTGGAGGAAGTGAATGAAGCCAGTCTGTGTTGATAAGGCTTCAAATTAAAATAAATTTGTCTGACAAAGCAGCAGCTCTCAATTACTATCGTCTCGTTCGACTCGGTACTTCTCTCCTCTCAGTAGGGTTGTTTACAGCACACGCAATTTCCAGTTAGCTTCTTAGCTTAGCCTCCTTCTCAGTGGAGCTGGTGCACCGATCCAATCATTCAGCAGAGGCCACGCCTCCAGCAAGAATCACTTCTCTATAGCCGAGAGTCCAGACACTCGTATGAAGCAAAGTGAAGGACAGGGTCTGGTTGTTACCAGGCTAACTGTTTTGTAAAGTGCAGCAAAACATTCCAAAACATGATGCTGCTATCTCCCCACTTTCCAAATGGGATGGTGTTCTTAGGCTTCAAGCTTCATCCTTTTTCCTCCAAATATATTTATGGTCATTATGACCACACAGTTCAGTTTTAACTTCTAAATATAGAAACTGCAGGACATGTTTTCAYAAATGAATGTATTTGTTCCTGTGTACTTTACAAAGTATAATCAGACTTGTTTTGTTGTTGCTTTGTAACAATAGCTGCTTCTTTTAGTCCATGTTGGTACAGAACTTGTTTCATTGGTTAATGATAAGGTCTTTGGCTTTTGATTCGGCCTTGATACAGTTATTTCACACCAAAACAAGTTTATCTCCAGAACATAGAACCCATGTCCTCCTGGTATAACATGACATATTCCCATGGTCTACTTGTGTATTGTTGTTTGAACAGATGAACTGTGAACCTCCAGGCATCTGGAAGTTAGACACAAGAATAAACCAGATTTGTGGAGGTTGACGCTTCTCTTCCTGATGATGCCACAAAAAGACGCTTTGTGTTTTGAGGTGCCCTTAAATTTCATCCACAGGCGCGTCTCAAAATAACTCCGTTATCAATCAACCAATCAGCATCTCCCACAGCCATGATATCATCATCTAGGCAAATTGATTAAAGGCATAGTTTTTTTAACACAGTGTATGTAAACGTCTGGTTTCATCTGTACGTGCAAAATGAATATAAAGGTAATATTCAAACCTTGCACAAAAAGGTGTGAACGATGAGGGGTACAGAAAAGTAAACGTGCCTTGAAAGTTAATATCAGATCATACAGATAGGAGCAGAAATTCAGTGTTGTGTTCACTGCGTTGGAGGAAGCTGAAAGCAACACGAAGTTGTCGATGTTTGCAAATATATTTAGGAGTAGCAGAACTGATCTTTCCAAACTCTGATTTGAGCTCCCTACCAAAATATATAACTGAGTTTTGTTAAGTTTAGTGTGCTGTGATTATCAGCAGACAAAGCAAAATGTTGGACAACTGATGAAGTGAAAGCTGAGATTACAAAACATACTTGGAGTTCAAATATTTTTTCTTTGGTGGATGTCGAGCTTCAGGAATCAGGGCAGTCAGTAAACAAAAAAATTATGTCTTCAGAATAAAAAAAAGTTTAACTTGAATAAACTTATATTTAACAACA